ATGATTTTATAGCCCTCTATCATATCCCCACCTTAGTTGTCTCTTTTCCAAGCTGAAAAGTCCCAGTCTTATTAATCTCTCCTCATACGGAAGCCGTTCCAGACCCCTAATAATTTTTGTTGCCCTTTTCTGAACATTTTTTCCAATTCCAATAGATCTTTTTTGAGATGGGGCGACCACATCTGCCCACAGTATTCAAGATGTGGATGTGCCATGGATTTATATAAAGGCAATACGATATTTTCTGTCTCATTATCGATCCCTTTCTTAATGATGCCCAACATCCTGTTCACTTTTTTGACTGCCGCGGCACATTGAGTGGATGTTTTCAGAGAACTATCCACAATGACTCCAAGATCTTTCTTGAGTGGTAACAGCTAATTTAGACCCATGATTTTATCTGTAGAGTTGGGATTCTGTTTTCCAATGTGCATCACTTTGCATTGATCCACATTGAATTTCATCTGCCATTTTCTTGCTCAGTCACCCAGTTTTGTGCCAGGTTTCAGAGTAGCAGCCGTGGTAGTCTGTATCCGTAAAAAGAACAGGAGTACTTGGGGCACCCTAGTCTCTAAGGTGAGAGATCCTTTTGTAGCTCTTCGCAGGCTGCCTGGGACTTAACTATCTTGAGTAGTTTTGTATCATCTGATTATTTTGCCACCTCACCATTTACCCCTTTTCCCAGATCATTGATAGATATGTTGAATAGCGCTGGGCCCAGTACAGACCCTGGGGGACACCACTATTTACCTCTCTCCATTCTGAAAACTGACCATTGATTCCTACCCTTTGTTTTCTATCTTTTAACCAGTTACTGATCCGTGAGAGGACCTTCCCTCTTATCCCATGACAGCTTACTTTGCTCAAGAGCCTTTGGGGAGGGACCTTGTCAAAGGCTTTCTGAAAATCTAAGTACACTATATCCACTGGATCCCCCTTGTCCACATGCTTGACCCCCTCCAAGAGCAGAATAAAGTGGGGAAGCCAAAGCATGCGGGGGGGTGGGCAAGGGGTGACACAGTCTCACGTCCTAGCTGTGGGGGGTTGAGCTGGAGATGGTTGAGGGGAGGACGAGGATGATGGAGGCCTGGGTCCAGGTAATGGGGGTGACACTCACTGGGGTGGTTGCAGGCGAACAGCTGCTGCTGCTGCTAATTTTTCAGAAAAAAAAATGGGGTGGGGGGAGTCAGGGGGTATTTAACAGCCTGTCTGCCCCCAGCCAAGCTTCCCCTGGGTGTGGGGGGACAGCGACACCCTCCCACCCTGTGATCTCATTGGGTCTCCCCTCTGCCACCCACGCCGCCCTGTGGGGCTCGCTGCTCTGAACCAGACAGGCAAGCACCCCCCTCCCCCAGCAATCACCTCCCCCGGCAGTCTCCCGCTCAGGGCTGTGCTGACCCCGGATACGGCCGGGTCCCCCCGCTGGGCCGTGGGGGGCTGATTGCACTGGGACTGGGGGGAGCCCCACAGAGGGTGGGGGAACTGTCCAGGCTGGCTGAAGCTCAGGGGCTGGCTCAGCTCTGACACCTGGGACCCCCGCCCCCCACACTGCCCCTTTGCCCACTCTGTGCCGCTTGGCAGCCGGGGTGTGACTTGCCCCAGGCTTCCCCCTTTGCCATTGGGCTCCATGGCTGCTCGGTCTCCGGTGTCCCCTTTCTCCGCCCCTCCCTGGAAATCTCGTGCCCCTCTCCCAGCACGGCGGTGCCCGCGGCTCGGCCTGGCTGAGGCTGGCAGGGAGGGGAATCGGCAGGTCCCCGGCTCTCGCTGGCAGGGGAAGGGGATGACTCGCCAGGGGCTGGGGGGGCGTTGGCTGCACCGTGCCAGCTCGAAGCACTCTGCTTAACCCCTCAGTCGCCGCTGCGGAGCGTGTGCAGACTGCTGGGCTGGCGTGTGCCCCGGCCAGTGCGGGCGTGGCTAGGAGGGGGTTAATGTGGGCTTGCCAGCTGGAGCGCCTGACCCCAATAAAGTCCTGGGCAGATGCTGCCGGCCTGAGCCTTTGTAATGTGCCCTGGGGCCGATCTCAGGCCGGATTAAGAAGCGATTGAGGCTGAAACGGGGACCCCCCGTAAGCAGCTTATCCGCTTAAGGTTTCCCCAGGAACCCCCTGTACAGAGTGACTCCTGGCAGGGCTGCTCCACCCCGCAGGCTGGCTCAGGGCCGCTCCACCCTGGCTCCAGCCCTTCTGGACGGCAACCCATGTGCTGCAGCCAGCCAGCCGCCTCCCGGGCCTGGGCTGAGATCCTCCTTCCGGCACCGGGCAGGGCCCCCATGACCGCCCCCCGCTGGGTCCGAGCCTGCGTCCGGCGCAGGGGCAGCCGCCTCGTCCCAGCACGGTGTGGCCAGTGCGTGCTGCATGTGCCAGCGTGCTCCGGGCCGAGCTGGGCCGCAGGCTACAAGGGCTTCCGTCGGGTGGGGAGCACAGCTGGCCCTCGGGCTCCCAGGCAGCGGCTAGCAGGGCCTTGCTGCCCCCAGGCCACGCTGGCCAGAGCCCACTGCTGAGCACTGCGCCCTGGGGACTGGTCCCTGAGGGGTCACTGGGATAGCCCAGAGCCGGGGCAGACCCCCGGAGGGATCGCCCGGCTTGGGCCGCGGGGGGCCGAGTAGGGATTGGTGCAGGGTAGTGGGGGCATGCCCCCTCCCCTCCCATGGGGCCGGGACCCGCCGGACAGCACAGCCGGACCCGGCTACGGCTGGTGCTGCCCACGTGAGGACCCAGACCCCGGGCCCAGGGACACGCACACGTCCTCCCGCCCTGTCAGTGCCTCTGGCTCCGCCTCGGCCCCCCAGCCACGGGGGGGGGGCTCCATTGCTGGCAGATCTCAGGGGGCACTTGGCTCGTTCCCAGGGAGTGGCAGGTCTGAGAGAGGCCACGGGCCAGCTGGAGGGCAAGCTCCCCTCCCCCCCAGCAGCCCCCAAATCACATGGGTGAGCCTGGCTGGGCCCTGGGGGGGTGGGGCGCAGCTTGTCTGTCCCCCTAGGAGCCAGGCTGCACCTGGAGATGTTTTCAGGTTGTGTCAGGTCTGGGCCTAAATGTTCCAGGACAGGGCCCCCAGCCCTTCCCGGGGAGACCCCCTGCCCCCCCCGCCAGACCCATCTCCCTGCTGGGGAGTGACAGAGCCCCCAGCCCTTCCCGGGGAGACCCCCCCCCCCCGCCAGGGAGTCTCTCCCAAGATCTAATCGCACCCCATCCCTCCTTCCCCCACCAGGTTTCCCCCCAGCCAGTACCCTCCCCCCCCCCAGACCTGTGTCCCGTCCCTCCAGCCTGCCCTGCCCTTTGTGTGCGGGAGGCCGGTGTCGAGGTGCCCTCAGCCCTGCCATCTGATTGGCTGAGAAGGGGGGGCTCTGTGACACAGCGGCTCAGTGCCCAGAGGGGGGGGCATGGCCCTGTTGAGGTACTGGGGCCGCTGCAGGCCGGAGCCTCGTCCAGGTGACTCTGCTGGGAGCGCTGGGGGCTGCCTCTCCTGGGGTGGGGGCTGCCGGTGGGGGAGGGCGGGGGCTGCCTGGCAGCCCTGCCAGCCCCAGGGGCCGGGCACAGAGGGGCTGTGTACAAACAGGGCTGCTCTCTCCCTGCCCCCCTGGGGGGGGGCTGCTCGCTTCCTCTGCCTGGGGCTGCCCTCCTCCCCCCCCGACTGTTCACTGCCCCCCTGGGCTGCCCTCTTCCTCCCCCCCACCCCCCCAGGGCTGCCTGCTTCCCCCTGCTGGCCACGGGGCAAGCTCCCAGCCTGGGCGGAGAGACCGGCACTAGTGGGGTTGAGCTATTAGTCCCGTGTGGACGCAGCGGCCGGGCAGAGATCCTGGTTTACACCCGCGCGCAGGCTGGGGATCCGGGGGGCTGTTTTAGCTGCGGTACCCACACTGCCAGTTTTAGGCACTGGCTGGAGCCCCACTAGTGCCTGTCTGTCTGTCCAGCCTGGGTCCCCGCTGCAGTGTAGACAGCTGCCAGGCGCCTGGTGCTGCCTTACGAGGGGCTCCCCCTGGTGGTGAGATTGAAATGTGCTGGGGGGAGCCAGAAAGCCGGAGCGGTGCAAATCCAGGCCAGGGCTCCCTCTGCCCCACGGCACATGGGGTGGCTCTGCATTGGCCCCATGGGGAGAGGGGAACCACTCCAGCCCCAGGGAGGAGGGGGCAGCTTGCCTCGCGGCATGACTGACAGCAGCCTCACCCCGGCTGGGTCCTGGCTGCTCCCGTGGTGGGACCTCCGGAGAAAGTTTAGGTGCTGGGGGGCGCAGAGTGGGGGCTCACCGGAGGGGACTGTGCGGGGGGGCATGGAGGGGGGGTTCACGGGGGGCGTGTGCAGGGGGGCATGGAGTGGGGGCTCACTGGGGGGCGCTGTGCATGGGTTCACAGTGGGGGCTCGCGGGGGGCGTGGAGTGGGGGCTCACCGGGGGGCACTGTGCGGGGGGGCGCGGAGTGGGGGCTCACCGGGGGCACAGTGCTGGGGGTGGAGGAGTGGAGGCTCACCGGGGGGGGATGGAGTGGGGGCTCACTGGGGGGCACGGAGTGGGGGCTCAAAGGGGGCGCTGTGCTGGGGATCACACTGGGGCAGAGGATCTGCAAGTGGTTTTGTTGCTATAGCCCGTTGGGATGCATGTGAATCAGCTGAGAACTGACTGCCTGGTTCGTCCGTCTGTCCGTCCGTCCGTCCGTCTCCACTTCCTGACCCGTCTCCATGGCTGGCCTGGCAGCAGGGCCGGATTAACTGTTTGCTGGGAGCACCCATGGGGAAAAATTGGTGGGTGCTCTGCACCCACCGGCAGCTCCCTGCCCCGCCCCCCCCAGCTCACCTCTGCTCCGCCTCCTCCCCTGAGCGCGTTGCCACGTCCTGCTTCTCCCCGCACCCTCCCAGCACTTGCACCGCGAAACAGCTGTTTCGCGCAGCATACCAGGGAAGGGGAGGAGGGGAAACACAGTGCGCTTGGGGAAGGAGGTGAGGATTTGGGGAGGGGCCCAATAGGGGCAGGGAGGCGGTGTTAGGGTGGGGGCTTTGGGGCAGGGGTTGGGGCGGGAGTGCGAGCACCCACCGGAGCAGAAAAAAGTGGCACCTGTGATAGCAGAAACGGTATCATCTTGAACATCGTGTTTATAACTACGGTGATATGTTGTATAACTCGGAGCAGTTGTCTGTATTTAACCCATTAGGCTCTGGCCAGCGGGAGGGGGACTCTAACCTGCTGGGAAGTAGCTGTTTGTCTGTGCAAAAGAGCAGTTGGTCTGGGAATGAAGTGTCTGAATGTCTGTCTAATGTCTCAGAAGTGAATCTGGAGTTAGATCAAGAGCAGAAAGATCCCATTGGCCAGGACAGTGTTTCTCAGGAGCAGATTAAAGTGGATGGTCAGGTGCAAGCCATAGCTGAGGAAGGAAAGGGGAGATTTTGGACGGGTGATGGATTGGTGGCTGATACAGCTTGGAAAAGGGAACCTGAAAAGGGTCACTGTGATTTGCTGGCAGTAGCTCAGTGTAGTGAGAAGAGCAGCAGTGTATCTGTTGGGAGCGGCAATGGGCCTGGTAAGGAAAGCGTGGAGGAGCCTGGGCAGCCTTGTGAGCTGATGGCTTTGTCTAGTCAGCAGTTTGGGAAGGCAAGGAGAGTGGAAGATGAGTGTCCCTATACCTTATCTGTTTCCTGTGTGGAGAATTGTGACAATGAAGGAAATGTGCCTGTGTCCGTCATGGGTATTGACTTGCCTATGGAGGAAGCTACCTCGGACTCCAAGCAGTTGTCTGTGAACAGCCCGGTGTGCTGGGACAAGGGAAAGGAGATCCCAAGCTGTGTGTCTGGTAAAGGGGAAGGTTTCTCCAGCTCTTCTTTGTCTGTGAAGCAAACAGAAAGTGCTTCTCAGTTTCTGCTATTTGACACTTTATCAGTGGTCCCAGAGTTGGTTCTGGATACAGCTAAATCATAGAATATCAGGGTTGGAAGGGGCCTCAGGAGGTATCTAGTCCAACCCCCTGCTCAAAGCAGGACCAACCCCAACTAAATCATCCCAGCCAGGGCTTTGTCAAGCCGGGCCTTAAAAACCTCTAAGGATGGAGATTCCATCACCTCCCTAGGTAACCCATTCCAGTGCTTCACCACCCTCCTAGTGAAATAGTGTTTCCTAATATCCAACCTAAACCTCCCCAACTGCAACTTGAGACCATTACTCCTTGTTCTGTCATCTGCCACCATTGAGAACAGCCGAGCTCCATCCTCTTTGGAATCCCCCTTTCAGCTAGTTGAAGGCTGCTATCAAATCCCCCCTCATTCTTCTCTTCTGGAGACTAAACAATCCCAGTTCCCTCAGCCTCTCCTCATAAGCCATGTGCTCCAGCCCCCTAATCATTTTTGTTGCCCTCTGCTGGACTCTCTCCAATTTTTCCACATCCTTTCTGTAGTGTGGGGCCCAAAACTGGACACAGTACTCCAGATGAGGCCTCACCAATGTCGAATAAAGGGGAACGATCACGTTCCTCGATCTGCTGGCAATGCCCCTACTTATACAGCCCAAAATGCCGTTAGCCTTCTTGGCAACAAGAGCACACTGCTGACTCATATCCAGCTTCTCGTCCACTGTAACCCCTAGGTCCTTTTCTGCAGAACTGCTGCCTAGCCATTCGGTCCCTAGTCTGTAGCAGTGCATGGGATTCTTCTGTCCTAAGTGCAGGACTCTGCACTTGTCCTTGTTGAACCTCATCAGGTTTTTTTGTTTTGTTTTTGTTTTGTTTTTGTTTTGTTTT